TGGAAGGTCTTCCCAAGTTCATGGACTGAAAGAATTAATATTGTGAAAATGCCCATCCTACCAAAAGCCATTTATAGAATCAATCCAATGCCAATAAAAATCCCCATGACATTCTTCAGGAATGAACAGAACTGGAAAAAACCATCCTAAGATTCATATGGAAGCACAAAAGACCTCGGATAGCCAAAACAACCCTGAGCACTAAGAGCAATGCAGGGGGGATTACTATACTAGATTTTAAGCTGTATTACAGAGCTATAGTCATAAAATGTTACTTTTCAGAAAATATTTTTTGAGTCAGTGCATATGTATCACAAGAAGCATGTATAAGAATATTTATATGAGGGCTGGGGATGTGGCTCAGTTGGTAGCAAGATCAAAGCCCTGGCCTCTAGCTCCAAAGCCTTAGCCCCATGTAAACCAGCTGCTCAGCCTTCTCTGACCCCACTTTTAGTCTAGTAGAATCCTATTTGTGTTTGGTTCAGTGAAATAACTGTGTGTGTGATGTGTATGATGTAACAAGCTTTTTTGTTTTTAGGGAGCTGAATTGTCTTAAAGGGTATACGCACTGCTTCATACAACTAGAATTTTAACTAGGAATTTGCTTTATCAAATACTAGTTATGTAATAAGTATTTTTCTAGCATGGTTCAAAAGTTGGTCAGAATAAACTAGCAAACTTTTTGTTGTACTAATACTTGAAAATAGCTGTATAATAGTTTTAAAGATTATTTTAACAGTTATGTATTGTGTGTGCATGCATGTGCATGTTTGTGCAGGCATGTGTGCTATGGTGTATGTTTGGAGGTCAGAGAACAACTTAATAGAAGTTGTTTCTCTCCTTCTACCATGTATGTGGGTGGGAGATTGAACCCCGGTCATCAGGCTTGATGGCAAGCACCTTTAACCATTGAGTCATCTTGCTAGCCCCTATATAATTCAAGTTTCAAAGCTCAGTTTATAGTAACAAAACACACCCTTCTTTATACCTGTTTTATTTAAATTTATGCAAGATTATTCATGTAATTTTGGTTTCCAAATAAGGCAGCCATTGCAGGTATGGCAGCATATGGTTTATTTGTTCTTGGCATGGGTCTCTGACTCATCTGTTCTTTCGTTTCAATGTTCTTGTGCTTACTTCACATTTCACAAAGACTTTCTCCTGGGTGGGGTGAAGCTGTAGATCATCCGTGCTCTCTGGGCAAAATGTCATTCTGATGAGAAAACAAACCAAAAACGGTGTTATGTTTTTAGATGGGACTTATGGAAGTGTTTTATTTATTTATTTTTCAATGCAATTTTTTTAGAAGAAGCATTTCATTACAGCTTTAACATACTCAATAATAATTTCCAGAGCAAAGATAGATCTCTTTCAAAAGTGGCTATAAAATTTTGAGGCTCACAGTTGAATATAGTTATACAATATTGAACTCAGTATAAACCCTGTAAGACATAAAATTGCATTTTTAACCTTTAAAAAGGACCTCCATTTCATTTTAAAATATAGTTTCTTACAGACTCATTGTTTTTGCTAATAACACTTAGATGTTGGCGCATGCGTCTCTCATCTGTATGTAGCTGATTATTACTAGTCATGGTTGGTTGCACTCAGATCCTTGGTACCTGTGTATGGATATAAAGTCATCAGGTAGATTTCAGTGGTAATGTTTATCACCTCTACTAATTAACATGATGTAAATTTTTATGCTTCCTCCTCAAATATAGCTCATTTTTTAAATTTGTTGAATTTTTTGTGTGTATATCACACAGAACATCCCAGACTATCTTATTCATCTATATACCCACTTCCCAGATGGCACCCTCCTATAGCCCCCCCATAGAGCCCTTTTACTCTGTCTTCCCTGCTACTGTCTGCTGTGTTGTCGGCACCCCAGCCGTTCTCCAGTACTTGTCCATCAGTGAATCTAGTCGGCCTATCTAGAGGTCTTTGTTTTAGGAAGTGTTTCATCTTTTATCAAATACTATTCAAGTTATATAGTGCATGCAATCTTTTTTTTTTTACATTAGATTCTTATGTTTGGAAATATTTTTATATTTTTTATAACTTCAGAGAATAACAAAATCCAAGTCAGTGAAAGTAATCCTCGTGAGGTTCTGCACTGAAACCCCAGGGGTAGGCTTCCTTTGTTTTCCCTTGTAAAGCTCTTCAAAGACTTGAGGCTGAGGGTTATTTCTCTCACCGGAATTGACTCCAAGGCAGACATCCACAGTTTCTCAACACTCCGAGCAGGCTTACTGCCCCAGCTTTTAGCCTTGCTGGTTCAGCCCTGAAGCACTGTCCTTCCTGTTGGTGCAGACACTGGTTGGCTAAGGGTATCTGAACAGCTTGTCTTCAGAAAACCAGCCACTTGATTGTTTTGACCATTAGCTTGACCTGGGGTTGCTGCTTTGTACTAACTTCAATTCTATCTATGTATCTATGTATCTCCCTATCATCTATCAGTCTATCTGTCCATCCATCTATGTATCTATCCATCCATCCATAAACTCCCCTATGTATATAAGTATCTATCTATCTGCCATCCATCCATCCATCCATCTACCCATATGTCCATCCATTTATCTATCTATCCATCTATCCACCCACCTACCCACCCATCCATCTGTTCATCTGTCTATCCATCCATCCATCCATCCATCCACCCAACCACCCACCCATCCATCTGTTCATCTGTCTATCCATCCATCCATCCATCCATCCACCCACCCATCTATCTGTTCATCTGTCTATCCATCCACCCACCCATCCACCCATCCATCCATCTGTTCATCTGTCCATCCATCCATCCATCCATCCATCCATCCATCCATCCATCATTTATCTATCTACCCAATCATCCATCCATTGATTTATCATTCATTCATTCATTCATTCATTCATCCTCTATCTATATGCCCTTTCCTCCCTCCTTTGGATTGTACCTAAGGTCATAAATAAGAAAATTCTGCAGTTGAAAAAATGATGTAATTTATGAATGCATTTTTATTTGGACGAGGATATCATGTAGCCCAGGTTGGCCTCAAACTCACTATGTAGCCAAAGATGGTCTTAAACTCTTGATTCCTCTTAAGTTCTGGCATGCACCACCAGATCTGGTTTATGTGGTACAGGGGATCAAACTTAGGGCTTCATGCATGTTAGGCAACATGAGCCACATCCCCAGCCTCACTGGTAGATTTTGAGAACATTTCTCTACATTTTACCAACCAAGTCTGTTACTTCTGTTTTTCTGTCTTTCTCTTCATCCCAATACACAACCTTGCTCGTCCATGATTGGGAGAAACTCACCTCCTCTGCAGCTGTGGGGCAAGTTACTTAACCTACATTTTCTTTTTTCCCTTGAGTTTAGCAGAGTGATTTAGAGTATATGGTTTCATGTTTGCCTCTTGACTCCGGCTTTTGGTTTGCCAAAGATACTAAACAGTGGTCTCTTGAGACATACATTGTGATTCCCATTTATTACTATGGAACTGGATTTCAGAAAGGTGGTTATTAATTGAGGCTGTGTAGGCCATGGGCAATGAAGTCAAAATTTGAGTTTAGGACTGGCCAACACAGAGTTCTGTTTGACTCTTCTGGCCAAGATGCTTGGGTCACTGCCTGTCTCCTGGGAATGCCTTTGGCTCCCTCAAAGCCTGCTGCATTCAGCCCCACTAGCAATAACCTGAGCTGCCTGTTTCTAGACATCCTGGACTATACAGTGCTGAGGTCTTACTATTCAAAGTCCACAGATAGCAGGAACAGTATCGTCTGGGTCCCCCCCCGGCTGGGGGTCTACTGAGGCAGGATCTGCCTTTTGACATCATCCCTAGATGATCTGTGTGTTCATTAACACTTGAGAAGCCCTGGGATGGAGCATACCATTTAGCAAAATTAATTGATCTCATTTTTCTAATTAGGACCTGGAGGTTCTTTTTGCCAAGAGCTGCAACTCTGACTTTTCCCACATGCAGGAGTATTTACATCTGGGAAACTACAAAGCTCATAGCCCCTGGGCCTCCAACCCTTTTATTCCCGTGTGTGTGTGTGTGTGTGTGTGTGTGTGTGTGTGTGTGTGTGTGTATTCACAATGGTGTGTTTGTGCATGTGGAACCCAGAGGATAACATCAGGTATTGTTCCTCCAGCACCATCCACCTTGTTATTTTGAGACAAGGTCTCTCACTAGCATGGAACTCTCCAAGTAGGCTAGGCTGGCCAGCCAGGTGTCCCAGGAAGCTTGTCCTTATCTCCCAGCACTGACATTGCAAGCGAATGCCACTACACCCAGCTTTTCTTGAGTTCTTGTGCTTCTAAAGCAAGCACTTTATTGACCGATCTATATCTCTCAAACCCCCTCCAGTCCTTTTAAGAATGTACTTTCTACAATCCAGAGGAAGGAGTTGATGCACCTGTACATTAATGCCTGGCGTTGCAATTCTGCTAGGTTAGACTAGGGAAAGTCAGATTAATGTGGCCAAGACTAATGGAGGAAGGAACCATTTAAAACAGTATACCAGCAACAAATGGGTAATGAATCAGGCCAAGGTAAGGCAAATCTGGGAGCAGACGTTCATTAGCTGTGGGACCTGTGTGAGTCACAGGCTGCTAATCTCCGCAGCCAGGGCTACATCAGAGTCGCTGGGAAGGACATTGAGAGATTAATGCCGGGAATACTTTGTTCAAAGCCCTCTGTGCCATGGGAGTGCTCTATGTCTTTTTCCTCTTCTGCTTCTTCAGTCTGTGAGGCAGGCTTTGGTGTAGGCAGCACAGTGGTTTCTTCCACCACCTTGCAGGGCAAGGCACACAGACTGTCATGGACAGCGGACAGTCACGTTAAGTGAGCAATTACTCTCTAGCTAAGAGAATGTGGGGAGGGCTGGTGCTCAGAAGCAGTGCTGCCCCAAAGGGCCAGAAACTCGAGGGAGAATAACTAAGGGTGTAGAGGGGGAAGCAGCTTAATTTTCTCAGTCTTATCACGTGGAGGTTGGTTGGAAGTTTGGGGTTTATGCTTTCAGTAATTGCCAGGATTTTGCATCCCAGGGAAATATAATCTCAGAGCAGTTGCATAAGGGACTGAGGCATAAATCTGCTGTGGGCTGGCTCCAGGCTGTGAAACCTGAGGCAGAGGGAGGCATGGAGTTCAGAGGTGAGCAGCTTACTGTTTTCCATCTTTCCTAAGCAAAGGAGGAAACAGGGCTCCCCCCTAAGGAAGGTGGGAGAACGGAGACAAGCTTCTCAAATACAGAGGGCAGAGCTAGGAAAAGGCCTTTGGAAGCATGGAATTGTCCTGCTATGGAGAATACAGAGCTATAGGAAAGTATGGTTGCCATGGCAAAGTGTGCTGAACATCCCTCTGCTAAGTCTGTAAGCACTGCTGCTGGACTTGGCTCTCTATCTTCACTCCCTACTCCCTCCCTGTCCCCTTTTTGTCCTCAGGGACTCCGAGACTGGGAGAGATAACACACCATTTGAAGTGGCATTTCTTAAGGAATGACATTGCTCTCAGTGAGATTCTTCAGGATTCTTGTTTAAAATTTTCATCCTAGGTCTCTTCCCAAGATCACAGCCACAAGCTGTGCAGGCGGGTCCGAGAACTCTGCATATCAATAAGCTTTCCAGGGAGTCTTTGGCATCCAAGGAAAGAGAGAGAGAGAGAGAGAGAGAGAGAGAGAGAGAGAGAGAGAGAGAGAGACAAAGAGAGAGCAGAGAGAGAGAGAGAGAGAGAGAGAGAGAGAGAGAGAGAGACCAAGAGAGACCGAGAGCTAGAGAGACACACAGAGAAAATGAGACAGAGAGACAAAGCGACGAAAGACACACAGAGACAGAGACAGAGGAACGGACAGAGAGAGACAGAAAGAGACCGATATACAGAGAACAAGAAAGAGGAAACAGGAGAGAGAAAGAGAGATTGGGTTTGGGATCTGTTGAGTCTTTCTGAGGGGGAGAGGGTCAGCAACAAAGCAGATCCCTTGCAGCTCCCAGCAGCACCTTCTCTGGAGAATTCCATCAGCATGCTGGGCTTTGGGAAGCCTCCAGGCTGCTGAGGCAGTTCTTAGACTCCAGAGGAGGTAGCTGACAGGCAGAGGCAGGAAGAGGCTGGATGGGCATCAGAAGCCCTGAGTGTCTTCCACTTTTGCCTCTTCAGACCGCCCCTTTCCTGTGATCCATCACTAGAGCACCGGGGTACCTACTTCCTGTGACTGATGGGAAGGCTGAGCTGGGAGGTTGCCTTGCACCTTAGGCACTGAGGAGGTATTAGGGTCAGCTGTCACCTTTGCTGTGTCTCTCCAGCTTTGACCCGGATAGTCTTCAAAACCAGGCCTGAGTAGTGGGGCACCACGCCCCACGGGATGATGGTCTGCACTGTGTTCCAGATGTTGGGCCACACTGCACTCTTTTCCCATTTGAATTTGATGACGATCAGTTCACCGATGTCCTTATCCAATGTGATAAGGAAAGAATAAGTTTTATTGCTGGTGATTCCTTCACCCCTTGAAGAAACAAAAGAAACTGGTTAATAGAGTTTAACTCAACTGTACAGCTGAGTGACACTGAGGCATCTTCAGATACCTAAGTGACTTTGGGATGTTTTTTGTTGTATTTCTCAGCGTTCAATAGACAATAGAGATGGCGCTAGGGCAGGTAGACAGCTGTCTCTCAAAGCTGACTGAGATTGTAAACCTGTGCCAAAAGGAACAGACAAGCTTCAAGTTTTATTTCTGGGCATGGTTTCCAGAACACCCTGGAAAGGTGTTTGGGGGCCTTCCTATGGATATCTGCTCACCCTACAACTTCTGCTTAGGTCTTTTTGCTGTGCTGCACACCTGGAGGACCTGCCTCTGGCTTCTGTCTCTGTTCACAGTGCATTAGCCCTATCACATGCAGAGACAGTGCTCACAGAGGGTCTCCCTTGAGCTTGGTGAGCCTGAGGAGGGATGTGAAGGACAGGGTTTAGACGATGTTCCATTGGCCAGGATGCTTAGGGCAGTTCTGATGGGAAGAGAAGAGTAGCAACTGCCTGACCCTTGAAATGTAGGAGTCCACCTGGAGCCCATGAGAGAAATAAGCACATCATGGCACTCACAGAGTGATGGGAATCTTCATTTCCTCCTTTGTTCCCAGCAGTGACATAGTGAAAGTGGGCTCCACTGGCTTCTCAATTTGGTTGATGAACTGGATCTTGAACTGGTAATGGTAAACTAGAGACGGGAGGGGAGGGAAGGAGAGGGAAGGGAGAGGAAGAGAAAGAGAGAGAAGGGAAGAGAAAGGGAGGGGGAGAGTTAGAGAAGATAAGCAGGATGTTTTTGGAGACATCTTGAACTCATTATGTAATCAAAGATGACTTTGAATTTCTGATTCTTCTGTTCCACCTCCTGAGAGCTGGAATCACAGACCTGCCTATCATACCTGGTTTATGCAGTGCTAGGGATTGATCCCAGGGCTTGTACATGCTAGGCAAGTACTCTATTAACTGAGTGACATTTTTAAGTGAGGCAGGATCTTGCTGTGAAGCCCAGGCTGAACTCAAACTTATAATCTTCCTGTCTCAGCTTCCTTAGTACTGGGATTATAGGCATATACTCCCGTACCCAACTATTTATACAGAAATTTCAAATTTAAAATCCCATATTTTTAAAAATTTAAAGATGTAGAGGAAACTGTTTAGATGGGATAGATCTCAAAATATTAACGATGTTCCCCCTCCTACCCCGAGAGGTGGGATTGTGAATGTGATTGATTGTTTTTTTCTTCCTTCTTCTCTGCATGTCCTAATATCTACATGGGACTCATGTCGTATTTACAACAGTAATGGTAAAGCCTGGGGCTATAGCTCTTAATAGATATAGTATGTGGGAGGCCTTGGGTCCCATTCCCAGTACACAAAAGGAAAACCAAAAAGGTAAGTATTGTCTGTCAAAAGATGACAGAACCCTGGGCTACAAAGATAGCTCAATGGTTAAGAGTGAATTCTACTACTACATAGAGGACCAGGGTCCAATTCCCTCACTCACGTTGGGCAACTCACAACCACCTGCACCTCCAGCTCCAGGGGATCTAATGCCCTCTTCTGGTTTCCTGGGGTACCTGTGCTCATGTGTTCATACCCACACACAAACACGCAATTAAAAAATAAAATAATCTCTTTTTTAAAAGACATTTTTAAAGCAATTTCACTCTGATGAAAAAAAATGCAAGGCCCATGGCATTTGAACATTTCCCATATAGTATAAGACCAAAATGCATAAAACAGATGCTTAGAAGTTGGGATATTCTCAAACATCCTAGCCATGCTGACCCTGGAGAGAGCAGAGAGGTGGGGTTGCTGCTTCTCTACTACAGCTGTGCTTCCTACAATAAGTATTTTAATCAGAGTCTTATTGGAAAAAGAGGGAGCTTTTCAAAATATTTAAAAAGCAATTACAAGAATTTGAAGCTGCAGTGCCTGGCCTTGGAAGACCTGGAGTGAGGTTGGGAGGCTGTCTCTCAAGAGACCTGCCACACGCTGCCTTGTCTTGTGGGCTTCGCTATGCATCTTCGTTCCCTAAGTGCGGTCTTGTGAAGCTTGTCACTGCTAGAATTTCCACAAGAGCACAGGCCTCACAAGACATACAAGGAATGCTTAGTGGGATCTTTGTTGAAGAGCCACAAAGATGTGCACTGCATTAAAGACCCCATTGTAGCTAGGAGAATAAGGCACTTCTGCAGGGATGAACATTCCATGTCCTTTTGGGGATGAATGTTCCATGTCCCTGGATTGGACACGTGCTTTTGTTTCTTCTTTTCCTAAGTGATGGATGGGAGGAGATGGGTCTCCATGCAGGAGACGCTGCAGTTTCAGGATTCTGGGGACAGTTCCTTAGTAAGACCTAATGGCCAAGGTCCCTTGAACTTGCACAGCCTGTGAGGGGGAGCTGGCTGGCCCCAGAAATGTGGGACTCATGCAGGAGGCAGGCATGCAAAGATGGGAAACTAAGTGTGGTGGCACACGGCTGTAATCCTGGAACCTGGAAGGCTGAGGCAAGAGGATCATCATCAAGGCCTGGGCTACAAAAAGCCAAAAATATGAACTTAAAATATAAAATAAAATAATAAAAAAGGTATGTTGGGACTGGAGAAATGGCTCAGCAGTTTAGAGTACTGGCTGCTCTTGTAGAGGGCCAATGGTTCAGTTCCTAGCACACACATGTGGTTCACAAGTCCGTAACTCGAGGTCCAGAGGATCTGACATCCTCTTCTGGCTTCTGTTAGCACTGCATGTGGCATACAGCCAAAACACTTACACTAATAAAATACAAATAAATAAATAATTAATTAAAAGAGAAAGGTGTATGTGCTGTGAGGTGGCCGAGTCACTCCCCGGGAGCTCACAGCAGACCTGGTTGAGGAGGGCCAAGCCTCCTCTGTGACCTTGAGATACCTGTGTTCATAGGAGCATCCTCGAAGATCCTGAGTCCACACAGGGACTCTGCACTGCTGCCCCATTAACACAGTCACCTTTTTGGAGGAATCTTGAAGTAAGGTTTGTTCTTCTAACATGAAAAGACTTTGGGTGACTTTGAGTGACATGAAAGGATAAAGATCTAGCTTAGCAGTGAGAAAGCTTGTCTGGTATGTGCAAGGCTCTGGGTTCCATCCATAACTGAAAACTAATTATTTGTCCTTATTTGGATTTGTATAAATATTTTTATTTTAAAAAAGAATTTATCATTTATTGCCCCTCCCTCAAATGTTAGAATTCCAAAGATTAAGGACAAAAGTGTGGCCGTCTGCTCAGTTTACCTTATGATGTATTTAATTAGGATACTAGGAAATTATTTGGGCAAAGAAATGACCCCGTGACTTCAAAGAATCCAGCCAAGCACAAGCCTGTGTTCTGGCAGAAGAAACAATTTAGGGTCTGAAAGATGAAAGGCCTGGAAAAGTCCGCTGACCACGCGCAGATCAGGCGGCTCCCTCCAGATCAGAAACAGGGAGAGTCCCTCCACGAGGAAAACTCCCGAATTCTCATTCCCCATGGACTCTCCCAGTGCTGTTTATTAAAAACAAACAAACAAAAAATGAAACTTCTCTTTCACACAATGGCCACGGTGAACTCGAGGTCATAGAATTAATGTAAGGAGACTGTTTCTTTTCTTATCTGGTTTTCTCTGTGAACATTCTTGGCTCATGGAGGTTTCATGACTGAAAACATCTCAGAGTCTGGGAGGCTGGTGACTGTTAGTAGTCAGGAGTGTGAGTCACTCTGTGACTGGATCAGAAACTTTAAGGCTGTGAGGAATAAAGGCTAGCTTAGATCAAAAGCAGTGCTTGACCACTCACTAACCATGTGGCCTCTCCGAATCTTAAGGTATTTATAAGACATTTCAGCACACTTCATCCCACAAATTTCAGTATTCTTCCTCTCCCTCTCTCCTTCCCTCTCCACCTTTTCTCTCTTGGTCACTATGGTAAGCCCAACATGATGCCTGGACAGAGTGCCCCCAGCTCTGTAAGTACCACTCTCCCCTGCACTCCGTTACTGCATCTGACTGCTCTGAGGGTTAACCCCACACTTGCTAAGCAGGGCTTAATATCATTTCCTTTCCATCCCTTAAAAACAGCCTCCCACTGGAGTGTTACCCCCACCCCAGGTGGAAAGTGAGGGATAAACTGCCTCCATTCGCTGGGCAGCCTTTCCCAATACTCTCCTGCCAAGGCTGCACTCCGCAGTGTTTATTTGAGTTGTGGCTTGGGCTTGTAGAAAATAGATCCTTTGATGGTTTTATCAATGATCTTGGGAGCCAGGGGATGAGGGCCAAGATAGTGAAGCTATAATCAGGAGGCGATATTTATCTTGCTCCAACAGACCATACAGATTATACAGCATAATTAGATACCCTTAAAAAATATGGATCATGGCTTCTCTGCAAACCAGGACTGGGTGAATCTATTCTTTCAAGGTTCTACACATAGTCGTCAAAATGCTGGTGGTGGCCAGGGCCCACATCAGAGATGACTGTGACCATGGCAGCTGGAAAATGGGTGGTTATGTGACCTGGATTAAAGGTGTCATACCAGCACCATTAACAGAACTTTCTGCAATGACAGGAACATTTATTTCTGTGCTGTCTGACATAGAAATCATGTATTTGAGCCCTTGAAAAGGGCCTAGTACAAGGCACAGCATCTTGGTTTTCTTTGATGTATTTAAACCAGGGTCAGCGAGATGGCTCAGCAGGTAAAGGCACTTGCCACCAAGTCTGACAATGTTCAATCCTCAGAATCCATATAGTAGAAGGAGAGAACTGATTCCTCTAAGTTGTCCTTTGACCTCTACAAGTGCCCCACCCCCACATTCACATAAATAAATAAGAAATAAATAAATGTAATATTGTTAAAAGAGTGTTTAAATTGGGATTTAAACAGCCACATAAGGTTAGCAGAAGGCATTCATTTGAAAACAGTATTATATTGATTGCAGTGTTCCTACAGGTCAGTCTCACAAGGTGCCATCTCTGGCCTCCTCAGGGCAGCCTGATGTGATGTGCTGTTCCTCATGGTGAGGGGCACTAGCTTGGGCACATGAGGACTTTGCTTACTGGAAGGACCGAGGAGGAACTGGTACACTGGGAGCAGGGCTAGAGAGGTTTGGGGTATACCTCAGCTGTCCACTAGAACTCACAAGGGCTGGGGGTTGCTCTCTTGCCAGTTCCAGGCAGTCCTGGCGAGTTCCCTCCACATCACTGGCAGTGTGATACCGTCCTTATTAGATGTCCCTGGAGCAAGATGATTAGCTGAAATAAAGAGAAGCAACTGTCCTTAAGGGACTTCCTGTCTGCTGGGCTGCACCAAGCCCCTTGAGGTTAGCTCTGCCAGTAGACAAGGATGCCGGGGCCAGTCACTGGCGGGTGAGACAATGCTGTTTTAAGGTGACATTAACAAGAAAGGATCCTTGTGAATACTCAGCAGTGAGTGCTGGTTGGTTCCTGCAATTTAGCCCGGTCTACTCCTCTTCATCCCTGGCTTCCTTCTCTTTATACTTGTGTCCTGCCCCACCTCCAAGCTGCCTGGAAACCCCAGCACAGCAGCTTAGCGGGAGCTCCTGAGCCTGTCAGACAGGACACTCACCTCTGAAGGGGGCTTGGGCTCTGGTGATGAGGAAGAGCCTCCTGTTTTTGCCCGAGTGCTCCCTGCGGATGTTGTAGCCCAGCGTGTTGCAGTGACCCTTCTTGCAGCTCAGGCACAGGCCCTGGCTGAAGCGGTCCATGTCACTGCACTGGTAGCCTGTGCTCTGTAGATCTTTGTGTTGCAAAGAGTCGATGAAAAGGTGTACCGAGCGCTCATGGGCACATTTGATGGTCTGTGTGATGGCTGGAACATAGGGTGAGAAGGCCATTAGCACCCTGAGCTCCAAGTATCCCCAATGCAAAGACTCCCGTAATCAGTCCATGGCAGATTAGTGGCAGCCTGCTGTGTGTGTATGGGGGCAGGATTGCTGAGTCAACAGGGGGATGTGAGAACTGATGAAAGCTAAAGAAATTCGATCTCTATGGGTCATCTAGTAAGGCAAAATTCCCTGCGAGGGCACCTTTCTGTGACGGTGTGGCTTAGGAGGCGTTTTTGTAAGTGCCCCACTCTACTAGGAAAAGGGCAAAATGTTTAAGAAAGTAAGATGGAGACTCTCATTTCAGAGACCTTCCTCTCATGGTCAAAAAAGGCCCCAGTCTCCGAGTCTGCAGGGCGAGTTAGCTGATTGGGCCATGGGGACTGCCTTTCTTCTCATCAAAGCCAGGCCAGCTAGGCACTCCTAGGGCATACAAATACTAAATGTCAGGGCCTCTCCCACAATGCTTAACATGTACCCCCAGCAGCTATTGCAGACCTCAGTGACAGGCGTGGCACCAACTGGGACATAGGATTGAGAAGGGTACATGCAACGTGGTGTGGTAGCAAATGCCTTTAATCCCAGCATTTAGGAGGCAGAGGCAGGCAGATCTTTGTGAGACAAAGGTCTATACAGTAAGTTCCAGGCCAGCTGTGGCTATAGGAAGACCCTGTCTCAAAAAACAAAACAAAACAAACACCATGGAAGGGTACACCAGGTCTGGGCCCTAACACCCCAAGGCAAAATTTTTCCTTATTTTTGCTTATTAATTTTTAAGTGGGTCAGCGAGATGGTTCGGTGAGTAAAGATGCTTGTTGCCTGAAGGTCTGAGTTTGATTCCTGTGGCTTATATAGTGGAAGGAGAGAATGAACTCTTTAAAAATAAAAAAGATTTATTTATTTTTATTTTATGGGTATGAGTGTTTTGCCTGCATGCATATAAGTGCACCTGTGTCATGCAATGTCCACAGAGGCCAGAACAGGGTGTTGGAGCCCTTGGAACTGGAGTTAAGGACCTCCTTATGTCAGTGTTAGGAACTGAACCTGGGTCGTCTGCAGCAGCAGCCAGTGCTCTTAACCATTGAGCCATCTCTCCAGTCCTGGGAACCAGCTCTTATAAATTGTTCTTTGACCTCCACATGCACACAACATACATACACAACAAATAAAATGTAATAAGATTTAAATCATGAATATATATGTATGTACATATGTATATGTGTGTATACATGTGTGCATGTGTGCCACATCTCGAGTGTCACGGTCAGAAGACAACTTTCAGAAGTTTGTTTTCTCCTTTCTCCTTTATGTGGGTTCTGGGAATCAAACTCATGTCATCAAGCTTTGTGTAGCAAGCCTCTCTACCCACGGAGCCATCTTGCTGCCTCAAATGTTTGCTTTTGAGACGAGATATCATGTAGTTCAGACTGACCTTGAATTCAAGATCCCCCTGTCTTGGCATCTCAAGTGTGAGATTACAGGTATTCACCCCCATGCCTGGTTTTATGTGGTGCTGGGGATGAAACCCAGGGTTTCCTGTATGCTCTTCAAGTTTTCTACCAACTAAGCTAAATACCCAGCTCCTCCATTGTGAAATAGGACCTTTTAAAGACACCTTCCAAATTGTAACCTAATCTATAGCAAATTATTCTCAAGGAATGTGGAGGAACAACCGTAAGACATGGAAAATACCTAAAATGAAAAGGTCAGGAACAGGCGGTGTTGCCCAAAGCCACCCGAGGGCTTTAACTATAAATGCAGTATTAGTCATCTCGGATCTTGGCTGAGTATCTGTTGGGAGGTAGGCTTGTGCAGCTTGCTGTCCACTCAAGCTTTCCCTGTACCTTCCCAGCAGTGCCTGTGATAAATGAGAAAACAGCCTCAAAGATTCACAGGCTCAGGGACTCGCCCAGTTGGCGGGGGTGAGGGTGGAGAGCTGTTATCAAGCTGCCTTCTGTACAGGTGTGGCTTGGGGAATGCCCCCAAATGGGAGCACCATAAACACAGGGGTGAAGGACACGGGGCTCCCTTGCCTCCAGTTAGGTGATCTGGATGCTCACAGTTGATTGTGTCATTTTACAGTTTAGCATAGAAGAGAAAATGCAGCGACCGGTCCAAGCTGTGCTTACCAGGAAAGGGGTGACCAAACACCATCCAGGAGTCTGTGCTGAGTTTTGTAGGGAGGGGAGTGTAGATCTGGGTGGAGGTTAAGTGAGTCCGCTGGGAGGGATGGTGACCCTGGGGAGATGTAAAGGGAGATAGGGGGAAATGCCCAGAAGGCACTCAGGCGTGGGCAGAGGCTGGGAGTCCAGCCAACCTGAGATGAAGCATGAGGCGTGTGAAGGTCTTTCTGATACTGGAGAGGTGAGAGCAGTGATGTAATCCTCAGTGTGCTCAGCTTTGGCTTTGGATGATAGGGGTGGGAAGTGATATGTGGGATAGGGGTCTCCAGCTGCCTTAGAGTAGCATGTTCTCACAGGGTGATGTCCTACAACCACAGTAAATCTGGAATGCCTGCAGTTTCCACATGCCTGGCAAACGTGGTTGCTGCTTGCATGCATGTGCCCTAATCTTGTGTAGGTTATCAGCATGCATACTAATGTCTACTTGGGGGTTTGATAGAGAAGAAGTGGGATCATAACCCAGATACTGTCACATCCAGTTCTTCCCTGTGGTGGGGGATGTAAGTTGGATGAACTTTTCTTGGGGGAATCTTAGTCATACCCTGCAGTGTAGGCTGATGCAGCCTCCTGGGTGTGAGCAAAGAGTTAATCCCACTCCTGTAAGACCAAAGACGGAGAAGCCAAGGCCTGGGCTGGGGAGACTGCTCAGCTGGTAAAGTACTTGCCATATAAGCACAAGGACCCGAGCTCAGTCCTCAGAAGTTACATGCAAAAGCCAAGTGTGGTGGTGTGCATGTAATCCCAAGTGTTAGGGAGGCAGAGACAAGTAGATCCTTGGGGTTCCCCGAGCAGCCACCCTAGCTAAATCAGTAAGCCCCAGGCCAGTGAGAGACACTGTCTCAAAAAACAAGATGGGTAACTTCTGATAAACAACACCTGAGGTTGTCTTCTAACTTCTACATACATGCGCACACATGCACACTCACCTGTGTACACTCACTGTCGCACACACAGGCACACCTGTACACATACAAACATGCATACACATGTACACACATGAAGCCAAGGTGAATTACATGCATCCTTCTGTGGCTCTGGATAGTAGAAGTCTGTGGTGGTAGAAACTTCCAGAGAGGGGACAACCAGTAGGCCCAGGGCTCAGCTTTCACAAGGACCCGTGTCTGGGGAGCAGCTTTCCTTGGGAACTCTGGGCAGGGGTGGGAAGTTATGTCTCTTGATGGCACTCCTCTGCCTGGTCCCCAAGGCCCTCTGACCTGTCATGGGGAGCAGCTGCCTGGGGACCACCAGTCCTTCTAAGACTCCTTGGAGACCCCATCTGGGGCCCTAGCCTTGGCAAGCTCTTTCTTGGGTGTAACAGTTGGAGAATGCTGCCCCAGGGAAGTATGTGGGAATCAGGCTGTGACCTCTCCCTTCTTACCGTTTAAGCCATGCTCTGCAATGTGTTTGTAGAGCTCCAGGAAGTGGCAGCCTGGCTGGAAGGAGCCCCCGTTGGGGTAGAAGTCGTAGTGGGCGATGGGCTGTTTGATGCCTACACTCAGGCCCATGTGTTCCCGGGTAAAGGTGTGAATGGCATCCACAAAAATAGCATCATCCGGAGAAAGACGGTCGCTAGGGGAAGTTCCCTCGAACATAGGGCCTGCTGGGTCCAACCCTGATGGGAAACCGAGGGCGAGGTTAGATGGAGCATGGGGAGGACAGCAGCTCCTTAGCGTTTGATTCAACTACTCATTCACAAGCTACCAGGAAGGAGAGAAACCTAGGGCAGAGTCCCTCCCTAGAAGCCCTTACTGTAACCTCTTTGCAGTAAAACCACAGTAATTCATGGTGCTGAAAATTAGACCCAGGATGGCCATTATTCTCAGGGAAAAGAGATTTGCAGAGAGAATCAGGTGGTAATAATCAGGCTATGAGTGAATGCTTGATTTATTTAGGCAAATCAATTTTAAGTACCTCCAAAGCTACTTTCCACAGCATCTGTTTGCACAAAAAAGAAGCAACCCAAGGTTCTCATTACATGCAGCTCTTACTTCTCTGTCAAAGGGAATTTGTTTGCCTGTATTGCCAGTAAGCTCCCTGAACAAGCCAGCTTTCCTCCCACAGTCATGTCACCTCATGGGACTGACTGTCCAGATTGCCTAATGATGTCACATTTCTGGGGTGAAGATGTGAATAAGGGCTCGGATGTGCTTGTATGAGACAAGTGCAATTCTTGGCTGACTGCTTCTGGAGAGGCTATGTATGTCCCAGGGGCTCTCCTCCTCTACCTTCTTGAAGGACCCTTTGGTGGGGGTCTGAGCCCTGGAGATGGGGAGGAACTGCTTGTGGGCCTTGAGGGCACCTGCTTTCCAGCCCGGTGCAGGCTTGGTGTGACCTGTGTTCCTTTCTTTAGGCTGACAGAAGAGGAAACAGGGTAAGGAATGTCTCCTGTGAGGGTGGCCTGGCAGGTGATGACCATATGTTACAGCTATACCAGCCAGAATGGGGATGGGGAGGGCTCAGGTCTCAAGCCACCTCACTTTATGGAATTCTTTTTGCTTTTTCCATTTTTCACATGTATATGTGTGGTGTGCATGCATGTGTGTATATTCCAAAGTTTGCACGTGTGTGGGTACATCTGTGTGTGGGTGTGAGTGTATGTGTGTACATGTGCATGTGGAGGCCTGAGGTTATGTCAGGAATCATCCACCTTATTCACTGAGGCAGGCTCTTTCAATCAGAGCTCACTGATATGGCTAGCCTTGATAACCAGCTTGTTCCGGGGATTCCTTGTCTCTGCCTTTTAAAGCTGGAATTACGGCATTTATGTGGACTCTGGAGTTCCCAACAAATTCTAGTCCTCAAGCTTGCTGGGTAAGCACTTTGACCACCAAGCCATCTCCCCAGGCCCACTGTGGAATTCTGACCTAGTCTCTGGCAATGACCCTTACTGAGGTGGAGACCAGAAAATCAAACTCTAAATAAGAGTTAGAGGCCAGCCTGGACTAACATGAGACATGGTCTCAGGCAGACAGACAGACACACTACAAGAGATCCTTGCTATGAGGTGTACAGAAGACCCCTTTTGGTTGCATTTGGCACAAGTATGAGAGGTATTCACTGCAGGAAGGGCCATAGGAACCTAGCCTGTCGTTTGCCTCGTGTTCTCATGAACAGCCACAATTCCTGGCAGAGGTCGTGTTTGGAAGTGCTCCCCATCTTCCCCTGAACTCTATCAGGAGAGTGGTGGTGATGAGCCTGGGAAAGCAGGTGTGCCATCACCATCACCTGTGCAGGCAGCTGTGGCGCTTATGTTTGGGCAGTCAGTCAAGGTTACCTGTGATTCTTCCAATCTTGTGTTTGCTACCCATGGAGCTGCCTGCAAATCCTGAGACATGGGCTCCCAAACTATATCCAACCAGGTGAACCTTGCTGGGAGAAAATTGCATGGATTCCTGTAAGACAGTCATGAGGGTCATGGGAGGAAGTGGTGAACTTTCTATGGGGCTGCTTCTTCAGGGCACCCACCCATACTTGGCAATACCCGCGGAAATATTTTATTGATTGGGAAACTGATGTGTCAACTCATTGACTCTGTCCTCAAATGATGGGAGTTGGGGAGGGGGGATGGTCCTGTCTCTGGGACATCCTGGTTGAAGCTGCTTCCTGCCTTCCTGTCTTCACTGCATCCTCAGTGTACTGTAGACGTGGTCCAGTTGTGTGGGTGACGGTTTCTGAGTATGTTTAGAGTCCTTAGGACAGTGGATGAGGTACAATTATCTTAGGTCACACTGGGGTGTCCAAACTGTGACCCATGGGTTTCAAGAGCAAACATACATTTATTTTGTATGATATTGTGATAGGATATTGTTTATGAAGTTTAAGCTGAAGAATGTGTAACTGAGTTAAAATTGCAAGAAAATCTCATGTTGTCTTTTAAAAAATGTTTTAAAGTTATTAATACATCGCGTGTGTGTGTGTGTGGGGGGGGGTGTGTCTAGGCCAGAGAACAACCTGAGGAGTGAGTTCTTTCCAACCGTGTGGGTCTTGGGAATTGAAATCAGGTCCTCAGGCTTTGTGACAAGCACCTGTACCTGCTGCTGAGCCATCTCACTAGCCCTTTGTAATGTTTTACTATTGTTGTCGTCGTCTTTGTTTATTTATTTATTTATTTATTGATTGATTGATTGAGACAGGGTCTCCCTGTAGTCTCAGCTGGTCTGGAACTTGCTATGTAAACCATGCTGGACTTGATCTCACAGAGATCCGCCTGTCTCTGGTGCTGGGATTAAAGGCAGGCACCACCATGCCCGGCCCTCTCATAATGTTTCATTAAGTTTATGATTCTGTATTGGGCCCCATTCATGGCTACCAGGGATGCGTGAGATTTTTGTGAGCAGTGAGTTGGATGCCTGCACCTGGGATGATGGAGGCTGTGCATATAGGAATGGTGACTGAGGAGCAGGAAGAAGAGGGCTCTACAAAGTAGGGGTCATGGGACGCCTGGCATCTGGCTGTGAGCTGAGCATTGGGGTCTTCTGGGATGGAAGGATCTCTTGGAGACCAGCCTACCTCCTACACCGTCAAAGGGACAGGTGGGGTGGACTTACCTCCAGCCATAGGAGAAGAGTGGCCACCTCCTGGCCCACAATGCGGGTGTTGCGGACAGCAACAGCATAGTGGTGGTAAGCCAGGGAGATCCAGTCCACCAGCCCTACGTTCACAGGCTGGGCCTGCCGGGATTTCAGTGCGGCCACCATCTTCCAGATCCAGTTTTCGAGGAAGCCATCCACCTGAGGGTGGCCACAGGCTGTCAGCCTCATCAGGAGGGGATGGGGATGCCCACCCTAACTTCTGCTGTCCTTGAGCTAGCACCCCTCTCCTTTCTCAGTCTTGAGGACAATACTACATCCTTCTCTCTAACAGAAAGAGCCTGACCTGGGGTTTCTCAGCCAACTGCTGTGGACATTAAGGCTTGGAGAGCTCTTGTCCAGCTGTCCCTGTGTGTTGCTCAACCCATCCCTGACTTCAGCCCCATCTCCAGTCCCAGATTTAAAAACACAGTGTCTCCAGATCTTGCCATATGTTCCCCACCTGAGAGTCACTGTCTGAACTTTTCCTCACAGTGGAACTTTCTGAGCCCTAAAACAATGGAAAAGTGTGTGAAAATCAGACTTTCTCCAAAGTCAGATCCTCCAGGCCTACGGTACCACAGCATCTGCTCTGCCCTCTGTTCTCTTTGGAGGGATGACCTGGAGACCTGTGTGTATGTGCCTTGGATGAGAAACTGGGCCGGAAACACCCACTGCATTCCTAGAGCAAAGTGCTTGTGCCGTGCCTTGGAAGCTATGCAGAGTTCAGGAAGGAGAAAGGTGGGGAGTCGCGTGGTCACAGCTAGGTCTATTCCATACAGAAGGAACAGCCCATTTGGAGACATGAAAGGGCAGGGATGTCTGGGGACCAGAGAAATTGGGAGAGTTGAAGGTCAAATTGCAAGAAAAGGGACAGGGCCTCAGCTTGATGTGTCCATTAAAGAAATGTTTACCATGAGTTAAATATTCCAGCTGAGCCACATTGCACACACTGTTTAACTCCCTTGCCTCATCAGCAGGGTGGGGATAGCAATGCCCTCCTTCCAGGCAGGCTGTGAAGATGAAGCCAGTGTGCAGTGGATGCAAAGTGCTTAGAACCACAGCGAGGGTGCAGGACAGCTGCCCTCCCTCCAGCTTTTGGTGCTATCCACACTAGTGTCTGTAGTGTTAATGCTGGTGGTATACTCCCTCCAGCTTTTGGTGCTATCCACACTAGTGTCTGTAGTGTTAATGCTGGTGGTATACTCCCACCAGGTGGGATTTCAAGAACAAGAGCACATTTTGGTTACAGGAACCCATCAGCATCATGAGTTTAGAGACAAGACCCATTCCGTTAACAAACATTTTGGAGAAGCTGTAAATGTGGTCCATTAGACAAGAATAGGACAGGACCTTTCCAGCCAAGGAGCTCCCAGCCTAGCAGCTCAGAGAAATTAAATGAGAAAGCCCAGCAGAAAGCTGACCTGCAGGGTGCTAGGCATGGAAACTCTAGGGACATGTGCCTCCCCCTGAGGGAGGGCTGAGCTGCTGCAGGGAAGGCCTGGAGGAAGATATAATTGAGACTATGTCCTACAGGAAAAGAGGGAGCTAACCCAGAGAAGGGGATGAGGAAAGGGGTTTTAGCTAGAGGACAGAGGGCATGGGGCTAAGGCCCAGTGGGGAGAGGTATTATGGGCATATGGATGCAGCTGCAGCAGCTGTGGGTGACTGGAATGGGATATGTGAGGTGGGAGGCAGAGAAGGGCCAGGAGGGGTAATAGAGTAGATGGATGAGGCAGTTTGTTCATTCTTTAGAGAGGATTAGATAGGGGTTTCAAGAATATTTTTTGAGTCTGGGGGTATAGGCTTAGTCAGTGGAGTGCATGCATGAAGCGCTGGGTTTGATCCCCAGCACTGTATACACTACACATGATGGTGCACATCCAGCACTTGGAGGTTGTACTGGACAGCTTCAGTTGTCAACTTGACACTCCTGGGTAGAGGGAACCTCAAATGAGGAATTTCCTCCATTGGATGGGCCTATGGCCATGTCTATGAAGAATTTTCTCAATTGTTGAGTGATGTGAGAGGGCTCAGCCCCCTGTGGGTGGCACCACCTGTGGGCAGGTGGTCCTGTATTATATAAGAAAGCAAGCTGAGCATGGGCCAGGGGAGCAAGCCAGTAAGCAGCACTCCTCCATGGTCTGTGCTCTAAGTTCCTGCCCTGAATTCCTGCATTGGCTTCCCTCAGTGATGAACTGTGATCTGGGAGATGTAGGATAAAATAAACCTTTTCTCCCTCAGTTGGCTTTGGTCAGTGTTTTTATCACAGCAATAGAAAGCAAACTAGAACAGAGGTAGAGGCAGGAGGAACAGAAGTTCAAGGTCATTCTTGGCTACATCCTTGGCTAGCGCCTCAAAAAATAACTTTCAAAGACCAAAAAAAGAAAAAAAAAACTGTTTGGGGTGTGGTGTATTTGGTAAAGTATTTGCCTTGCAATCTCAGGATCTGAATTCTATCCCCAGAACCCACATAAAATGTTAGGTGTGGGACCAGAGAGATGGCTCAGTGGGTAAAGGCACTTGGCACCAAGCCTGACAACCTGAATTTGATCCTGAGGATCCACATGATGGAAGGAGAGAACTGAATTCAGTGAGCTGTCCTCTAATCTCTATGGTTCACGTGAACATGCATACACCCCAAAACAAACAAACAAGCAATTTAAAAAGTTGCTTTGGCTGGAGAGATGGCTCAGTGCTTAAGAGCACTGGCTGCTCTTGCAGAGAACCTGGTTCAGTTCCCAGCACCACTTATAGCTCTAGCTCCAGGGGATCTGACACCCTCTCCTGGCCTCTGAGGGCACCTGCACTCACATGGACGTAGCTGCACATAGACATACGCACATAATTTAAAGTAAATCTTTAGGGGCTGGGGAGATGGCTCAGTGGTTAAGAGCACTGGTTGCTCTTGCAGAGGACCTGGGTTTGATTCCCAGCACCCATAATAGTGACTAACAACCATCTGTAACTCCAGTTCCAGACTGGAGTTACAGTTGGATCCAGGGGATCCAATGCCCTTTTCTGACCTCTGTGGGCACTGCATGACACAGGTGCACTTACATACATGCAGGCAATACACTCATACACATAAAATTTTTAAAAAAATCTTTTAAAACAAATCTTTAGAATGTTAGGTGTGGTGTGCATGCTGGGGGAGCTGAGACAGGAGGATCTTTGGGGCTCCCTGGTGATGAGGTCCAGGGCATGAGAGACCCTGTCTCAAAGCAAGTGGACAGCATTCCTGAGGATGACGCCTAAGCTTGTCCTCTGGCCTTCACACACACATACATACCTGCATAGCTACAAACACACATACACATAAAACAATTCCAACTCATGAAAGAGATGCTAGAATTTCCAGAAGGTTCAAACTGTGACCTGAACAGGTCATGAGCAGGCTGTGGCCCGGGGCCCAGGCTTCTTAGAGATCTGTCCTCAAGGTTTGACTTCACTCATCACTATCCTTTGATAGAGAGCAATAGGAGGATTTTTTTTTTTTTTTTTGGTCACAGAAAGGCTGTACTTTTTGTGAGAGGCCATACTTCTCAGCCCTTTCCACCCAGTTGTGCCCAGTGAATAAAACTGTTGATATTTCCCAGACGCTTCTGGGAGGCTAACCTCAAAAAACTCTCTTTCATACCCACAGCCATTGAATTGTGCATTTCAAACAGATGTAAGAGAATTTTAAATAAATTAAAAAAAAACAAAAACGCTTCACTTCTTGACGTCATTCTGCACAGCTTTTATTACACTGTGCTGCCTGGAATAGGGATGTGATGGTTAGTGCTCCAGCTACTATTTTCGATTGTGAGGCTGAGGACCACAGTTTAAGAAAGCAAAGCAACAGACAGCCTGGAGGAGCTGGAACCTTAAAGTGTCACTGACCAAAGTTCCTCAGCTAGTTTGGATTACACCTGGACTTGTTTGAAGTGAAAACCATGGCATGTTTTATTTGAATCACTGTTTCTCTCAGCTGCAGACCTGCTTCTGGCCCCTTGTGAAACATGGATTGAGGCTGGAGCCTGCAGGGGTTGCACCCCTTAGGGTCTGTGTGACCTCTGATCCACATCTTTTTTTTTTTTTTTTTTTTTCGTTTTGAGATAGGGTCTCCCTGTAGCCTCAGCTAGCCTGGCACTCACTATGTAGACCAGGCTGGCCTCGATTTTACAGAAATCTACCTGCCTCGCCCCTCCACCCCCAAAAGCTGGTACTAAAGGTGTGCGCCACCATAACCCGCTGATCTGAATCTTTTTGACACATGGAGCTAACTACATTTTCTCTGCCCTGCTTCTCCTGGAATTGAGAGAGCCAGAAAGCGCTTTACCGACGCCATGCATGGGGCTAACACCAGCAGGCTCTCTCTTTATTCAAATCCAGCACACTACGAGGAACGATGGCTCAAAGGCAAAGACTATAGCACAGCGGCAACATTTCCTACCGACCACCCGTGGATGATCATGACCAGCGGCTGGGAGGCATTGAAGCCGCACTCCTGCAGCGTGTCTGGACGATGGAGCCTGAGCTGACAGCCCAGACGGTCACTTCCGTCTTTGAGGAGCAGCAATCTGGTCTGTGCGTCCTGCAACCGTTTCCTGGTTTCAGCCGCTCCACCGCGTCTCCTAAATGGCTCTGGAATAGGAAGGCAGGGTTAATTTGGCATCTGATCCACCCTTCTGTCCCAGGGGGCATCCACACACGGTTTGGAGCTGCAGCTAGTGGTGCTGAGAGGTGCTGGGGACCAGCGTGAACCACAGCTTTGGAGAGCCCAGCAGGATTCACAGTAGGATGGTGAGATGATGTGAGGAGACTCAAGAGGTCTACACACAAGCTAAGGGGCCTGACTCCATCCTGTCATCATGGTGACTGGCCAGCAACACACTAGAGGACTGACTGGAAGGTCTTAGAAGTGTGAGGCCACTGGGACTGAGGCCTGCAGACAGAAAGCTTCACCCTAAATCGCACAGCTAGTAAGAATCAGAGTCAAGATTCAAACCCAGGGGCTGGAGAGATGGCTCAGGGGTTAAGAGCACTGGCTGCTATTGCAGAGGGCGTCAGTTTGGTTTCTAGCACCTACATGGTAGCTAACAACTGTCAGTAACTCCAGCTCCAGGAGGATCCAGCAATGTCTTCTGACCTCTTTGGGCACTGCAGGACATGGGTGCACTTACATACATGCAGGCAATACACTCATACACATAAAAATAAAAATAATAAAATATTTTTTAAAAAAGTTAAAAAAATCAAACCCAGGTCTGCCCCCAGTGCTAGGGAGACAGTGGACAGAGTGTCTCAGTGAATGGCACTATGAGACCTCACGTCACCCCTCAAAGCCCATCCCGTTCCCACTGTAGGCATGGTATGTGGTCATAGCCTCCAAAGGGCAAGATCAAATGGGGCAGAGTAGGGTGGGAAGGGGCTCAGTGGGGCCATGGATTCCTCTCAATGTGCGGGTTGCTTGGTGAGGGCTGTTCAGATGCTGGGTTGATGACGAGGTTGTGTGTGTTTGGGATGGAGAGTAGGACCTTCCAGCTGAGGGAATAGCAAGAGAGATGGCTCTGAGGCGTGAGTACTCGTGGCCAAATGACTTAGGGAAAGGCTGGGGAGGCCAGAGCATGCAGGCCCTGGAGGCCAAAGACTTTGGATCTTATGCTCCTATGAAGGCTAGAGATAGCTGGTAAAGTGCTTGTCTTACAAACATGAGGCCTGAGTTCAAGCCTTAGCACCCACATAAAAAGCCAGGAATGGTGATGTGTGCTTGTAATCCCAGGGTGTCTTAGTTTCATTTCTGTTGCTGTGATGAAATATCCTGACAGAAAGCAATTTGGGGGAGAGAAGTTTACTTGGCTTACAGCTCCATTTGGGAGAGTCAAGATAGGATCTTGAAGCACATCACAGCCACAGTCAAGAGTGGAGAGAAATCAGTGCCCTGCATGCCTAGTGCTCAGCTTGCTTTCTCTGCTCCCCTGCAGTCCAGGGCCCACACCAGGAAATGGTGCTGCCCACATCAGGCTGGGTGTACATCAGGCTGGGGGTGACCGCATCAGAGTGGGTCTTCCCACATCAGGCTGGGGGTGCCCACATCAGACTGGGTCTTCCCACATCAGGCTGGGGGTGCCCACATCAGGCTGGGTGTACATCAGGCTGGGGGTGCCCGCATCAGAGTGGGTCTTCCCACATCAGGCTGGGGGTGCCCGCATCAGAGTGGGTCTTCCCACATCAGGCTGGGGGTGCCCACATCAGACTGGGTCTTCTCATATCAACAAGGCAATCAGGACAAGCCTCCACAGACACTCCCACAAGCCCACCTGATCCAGACAATCCTTCAGTGAAACTCTTCCCAGGTGATTTTCTTTCAAGTCCACAAAATGGACCATCACACAGGTTGACCTCTGACCCCCTCAGTCACACACGAATACACACACAGACACAGACACACACATACACCCCACATACATATACAAAAAAAAAGAAAAAGAAAAGAAAAAAGAAAATGGGCATAAAAATAGTAGGTAACTCCTGGGGCTGTTACAGGCTTAAATAAGATTTGTTGAGCGCTTGCTCACAACAATGCTGCATACACTTAGTGCCTAGGTAAGGGTGTGTTGTGAAAGTAAGTGCAGATCAGAGGCCCTGGCACCTGGCACTTTTCATCTGTGAAATCTTTTCTTTCTGTGAAAATCTACCCCAGCTTCCCTCAAAGGGCCAATTCTGTCTTATGTATATTGACTCTGGATTTAGCTCTGAGAACAGGCTCTGCCCCCCACCCCCGCCGCAGTGCCCAGGGCCTCCTGGCTATGCAGGAGATGATAGATGATGGGAAGGAGCTGTCAGATAGAAAGGCCATGTGGCTGAGCCTATAGCTCTCTGTGTCTGCCGTCTGCCTTCCCGGGCTTTCCTGTGCATCTGAGGAAGAATGTGCAGATAGAACACACAGACGTGCGCCTGTTCATTCTGTCACCCTCTCAACCAGCGCTTCTTAGGTTCTTAGGACCTGCTGATGCTGAGGCTGGGCTGGGTGGGAGCTGGAGGCAGGTGAAAAAGTGATCAGTGCATGTGGCTGTCCTAAGGGCTACAGTGGAGATGCTTCTAGGAGAGGCTGGGGAGGTGTTCAGAGAAGACAGGCCTGGCGAAACCTAGGGTAGAAGTTTCTTTTCGTTCTTTAAGTTCAATGTCTTTCTCCTTTTTATATTTTACTTTTATTTTTAATTATATACATAATTATAATTATAAATATACATACATATATATGTATGTCTGCACGTGAGTGCAGGTACCCAGAAACCAGAAGCATTGGATCCCCCCAGGAACTGGAGTTACAAGCAGTTGTGAGCAGCCTGACATGGTTACTGGGAATTGAACTTGAGTTACTCTGGAAGAGCAGTGCATGCTCTTAACTACTGAGCCATCTCTCCAGACTCCAGTGGAAGATTCTTTAGGAACCTCTGTCTATGAGAAGTGATCAAAGGGACTGTGCTTTGGTGCCTAAAATAGTAAAGTTCAGTGGGAATGTAAGAGCTGAAGGGCTGCTGTGGAGAGAACTTTGACTACTGCACACAAATTCATAGTTGGAGAAACTGGCACAAAGACGGAATAAGGGCAGTAATCTAACCAGGATATCATAAACAAAATTTTATTTTAAAAACTTTAAAAAACTTTATTTTTTATGTGTATGAATGTTTTGTTTGCATGTACGTAGTACACCTGTGGATGCAATGCCTGCCAGAGGGTGTGGGATCCCCTGGAATGAGAGTTAAGGACAGTTGTTAGCCACCATTTGGGTGCTAGGAACCGAAACCAGAACCTCTGAGAGAGTAAACTTAAGCAATGAGCCATCTTTCCAGCCCCTAAACAAAAAATTTAAATTATATACATTTTTGTGTATGTATGTGTGTGGGTGTGCATGTGCCACAGTACTTGTGTGGAGGTAGGAGGATACCTTGTCGGGGGGGGGGTCAGGTCTCTTCTTCCATTCTGTGGGTCCCAGGAGTCGAACTCAGGTCATCAGACTTGCCTGTAATGCCTTTACCCTCTGAGCCATCTCACTGGCCCCAAGATAGAATGCTAACATTAACATCCTAAAACATACACCGTGTGATCTTATTGGGCTGCTGGGGAGAGCCACAATTGTGTTCCAAGCTTGCAGAACCAATTTCTCTTTTCTCTTTGGAGGGGTGGATGATTGCGGGCACCTGAGCTGGGCCATCTGGCCTAGGAGAGAGCCAAGGATGCCGCAGTGGAAGGCCCTGCTTGGTGTCTTGAGCTGCCTTCTTTCTCTCTGTGAAGCCTGTGCAGGATGAGTCTGCTGGATTGAACACACAGCAGGTGCAGGAGACAGGAGCCTTGGTGCTAATATGTTCTGTGTAGAGCTGTTTGTAAAACATCTCCACGAATTCACTGTGTGTGTGTGTGTGTGTGTGTGTGTGTGTGTGTGTGTACTCATGCATGACCTTGCATTGTAAACATGTACTGTTGAAACTATTCCCAGACCTGGAAGGAGTCCCCTGGAAGACCATAATTTCATAATTTCCCTGAAAATTCTCCAAACCATGTCCTCTGCCCAGGATGGAACAGCCCTACAAAATAAATATAGCTGCCACTGTGGCTGCTGGGATCCAGCCAACGGTTTAAAGTTGGGCCATGTTGACTGAAGATTTTCTGCATGGAACTGGACTTGTAGCTCAGATGGCTGAGTGCCTGCCTAGTGTGCATGAAGCCCTGGGTTCACCCCCAGTGCTGTATACACTGGGTGTGGTACAGCACATTCATAATCCCAGTGCTAGGGAGGTGGGAAGAAGGATCAGAAATCCAAGGTCATCCTCAGTTACATAGGGAGTTTGAGGCTAACCTGGGCTACATGAGACCCTGTCTCAAAGAAGAAGGAGAAGAATGAAAAGGAGATGGGGAGGAAGAAGAGGAGGAAGAGGAGGGAAAGGAGGAAGAGGAAGAGGAGGAGGAAGAGGAGGAGGAGGAAGAGGAGAAAGAGGAGGAAGAGGAAGAGAGGAGGAAGAGGAGGAGGATAAAAAGAGGAGGAGGAGGAAAAGGAGGAGGAAGAGGAGGCAAAGAAGGAAGAGGAAGGGGAGGAAGAGGAGGAGGAAGAGGAAAAGGTGGAGGAGGAAGAGGAGGAGGAGGAACAGCTGCCTTGGGTACCCTACTCCCATCCCAGGTTGCTGGTTTCTCCCCTGTCTGCCCATGCATAAACTCTACTCATGGCTTGTTGGCCCACTGTGTGGCATGGTGCTGGTGGAGGTCAGGAGCTGGTGGTCTGCAGCCTGATTGCCTGGCCTGAGTCCTAGCTCAGCTGATAAGGCTGTGTGACCTTAGCCTCTCAGTGTCTCTTCTATAAAAAGAGACTAGCTAGAAATCCCACTTTGAGGGTGTTTATGAGTGAAAAGTAAAACACTCTGTTTTCCAGGGTTATCCAACTTTTGGACTTCTCTGGGCCACACTGGATGAGGAAGAATTGTCTTGGGCTACTCCAGGGTGTCCAATCTATGGCCTGTGGCTTTTGAGAGCACACATATGTTTATCTTGCATGACCTTGGAACATGAAGTTCATGCTTGCAATCTCACAATTTAGTTACACAAAAAAAATCACACACTCACAAAAATCTCGTGGTCTAAGTAAGTTT